ATGCATTATAAGCCTACATGAGTGCAATACTTCTGTAGGAAGAGAAAATAAGATAGTAGATACTGAAAAATCTATTTTATTTTAACAAGAATGATTCTTAATATAGTTAATTAAAACTATCTTTGCTCTATCACAACAGAAAAAAAAAAACAATGAGGAGATCCTGTGATGAACTTTCCCATCTACCATGCTACAATTATTACATTGGAGTGATGGGTTTATGAAATTTACATTTGTACAGGTGAAGGTATTTAGAGAAAAATTAGTTGTTCGGAGATTAACATGGCTAAGAAAGTCGATAAGTCGTATTCTCCTATTCGTTATAATGATTTACGAAATTTGTCTTCATTGATTGATAACTTAGCTTAACAATAGTCCAACATTTTCAGTGTAGAGATGCCTCACTATGTGTTGTATTTAATATGTAGCAGGAGAATATGTATAAACACATATTTACATATACCTACATCTAAAATTTACTAGTTTTAGGCGTGTAAGTTGTATTTTTCCAATACCCCAATACCCCCATGGTCCTCTGTGTGTACACACATATATTTTAAATCGAAAAAACATTGTATATATACTTTTATGTATAAATAAGTTTAAAAGAGTCGAACGCTAATGCAGTATTAATAATGGTTCAAGTATTATGTCGGTACTTCAAATTACAAACTAATATAGTCAATGGTCAAAATGCATCTATAGCTAGATAGTAACGGTAGCCTCTTGAACCAAGCGCTAGGTAATCAAGTGTGTTTGGAAACTTCCAGCTGACTGAAATACGCAGTACATATTTGCATAGGCACCGTTACTTCCTGAGTAGGTAGGAACCTAAAGATATTTCCACGGTGTCTCCCGAGACACGACCTCTCTAGACCAGCTACCATATAAATAACGAATGAAGACACCAAGACGCGAATGTTACTTTTTCACATATAATTCAAACTTCTACGGTCCTTACTGCGATGAAAAATATTGGGAGGACTTGGCTCATCAGTGGTAAACCCTTCCAGCGGTTTCGCCAATTTAATCTACCAGACCGCTTCTTTAGAGCTCTAATACAGTATTGGATCATTATGCTTTTATATGCCACACTGAAGAGCGATGTCTTAGAAATGGTATTTGAGCAAACTATGAATATAAGCTTTTAGGATAGTAGAATTACATTTGTAGGAGACATGTAAAAATTATTGTTTTGTATTTCTATTTTATGTAAATTTTATTTGCTTTTAAAAATTCTTATTTGTTTGTTGCAAATATGCAAAATTATTATTCTTCTTCCTCTCATTCTTTTTTGGTTGCCTGAACAAAATAGCCATAGCGAGGTGTAGCCATAGTGATCGTAATAAAAAGGCTTGATTTTATAAAGAAATTATTTATGTGGAGTGTCGTTAATTAACCACCACATAAACTGGTGAGCCGAACAAAAGAACAAGCACGACGAATTGATAAAATTAAAAGTGAGGAAACTGAAATAGTTGAGACCTATAAGGTAAATATTAAACTTCCACCTTTCTGGATTGAAAGACCTGATATATGGTTCCATCAAGTAGAGGCTCAGTTCTTGATAAATAATATATAAAGACAGAAAATACGAAATTCAATTATTTAATCGCTCAATTGGACCCAAAGTATGTCGAAAACCTCTGGGATATAATTACCTCTAAAGAAATAAATAAATATTCAGAGGCAAAAGAGAGACTTCTTAGAATATTTAAAGATGGCGAATCAAAAAGAATTCGAAAACTGCCATCGGGAATTGAACTAGGTGATCTAAAGCCTAGCCAGCTGTTGCAGAAATTAATATCATTAGCAACAGAGGACTTATCCGATAAATTTATAAAGACGCTATGGCTCGAAAAACTACCACAGGCAATTCAGCAAATTTTAATAATTAGCGAGGAAGAGCTCGACAAATTGGCAGTAATGGCTGAAAGAATAGCCGAATTAAACACAAAGACGGAGATCTACGAGGCAGCTAAGCCGGATAATGAAACAAAAATGTTATTTAAAAAAATAGAATCTCTGGAACAGAAAATAGAAAGTATGAAAATGGAGCGTCAAGGTAGATCTCGTGACCGAAGATCACGTGATTATCACTACAATGCGCGCTCCCGTTCCCGATCTAAGGGCGGATATAATCCAAGAGGAAAATTTTGATATTTCCATTATAGGTATGGAAAAAAATGCCTACCTGGAAAATGTAAAAAGCCACGTGAATGGGTCAATGCGGAAAACTCCAACCAGCAGTAAGTGGTGCGACGCACTCTGCTGCTGGACAGAACATACGTCGCAATAGCCGTTTATTGTAAGTGACAAAAAAACTGGCATGCGATTCTTAGTAGATAGTGGAGCTGATGTTTCCTTAATGCCTTTCAAAGGACTACCAAGTATGCTATACCAGGACTACCAAGTATGCTATACCAGGAGTACCAAGTATGCTATACCAGGACTACCAAGTATGCTATACCAGGACTACCAAGTATGCTATACCAGGAGTACCAAGTATGCTATACCAGGACTACTAAGTATGCTATACCAGGACTACCAAGTATGCTATACCAGGAGTACCAAGTATGCTATACCAGGAGTACCAAGTATGCTATACCAGAAGTACCAAGTATGCTATACCAGGACTACCAAGTATGCTATACCAGGAGAATCAAGTATTCTATACCAGGACTACCAAGTATGCTATACCAGGAGTACCAAGTATGCTATACCAGGAGTACCAAGTATGCTATACCAGAAGTACAAAGTATGCTATACCAGGAGAACCAAGTGTGCTATACCAGGAGAACCAAGAATGTTCCACAAAGAGAATCAAGTATGTTATACCAGCAGTGGAGATCCCATCATACCTGCCAGCAGAGAAGATCCCATCATACCTGCCAGCAGAGAAGATCCCATCTGGCCTTCCAGTAAACCGCAACCATCCAAGCCTGGGGTGCGGTTCGATTTGCCAAAGGAGACCCGCAGCAGAAGACAGATAAAAACTCCTTCCAGGTACAATGAGTCTATTGAACGTGACTTCCGTCACTGGAAGGGGAGTGATGTAGGAGACATGTAAAAATTGTTGTTTTTTTTTATGTAAATTTTATTTGCTTTTAAAAATTCGTATTTGTTTGTTGCAAATATGAAAAATTATTATTCTTCTTCCTCTCATTCTTTTTTGGTTGCCTGAACAAAATAGCCATAGCGAGGTGTAGCCATAGTGATCGTAATAAAAAGGCTTGATTTTATAAAGAAATTATTTATGTGGAGTGTCGTTAATTAACCACCACACATTCAAACATTTGCTTCGAGCAATGCTCCTCCGTAAACACATAGGCATAAATTAATACAAATCAATAACGCGCCATCTATATACAACGAATGAAGATATTAAGACGCGAAGGTTTCTTTTACACAAATAAATAAATATTCTACTGATTAGTGCTAGCAAAATCAGGAGCAAGGATCCGTCCAGTTGAAGGTCGGGTTGATAGACAAGATGGTCTACAGGAGTAATGATAGAAATGATGAAGGGAGGTGATGAGGGGAGCTCCTCCCACCAGTGATTTAATTAAACGCTCCTATTGAGCTCTAATTCGCCATTGTCAAGATGTCCGAGCCCAGTCCTTCTCCTTCCATCTATAGGTAACCTCTCTCGACATTCCCTTGGGTGGTTATTTCTGGATTGACGTATGCACGAAGGAACGTGTGGCCACTGGACATGCGTCGACCTGGGGCTGGTGATGGGTGCTGCGCTGCCTGAAGTACAGGAGCTCCATCTATGCTTCCTTTCTTCCTGTGGCGAATTTATATAAGACCAGTGGTCTTAATAAAGCTTTGTGTGTGTGTGTGTGTGTGTTAGTAAGGATTGTGGGGAAGTCAAAATTATCTATTAATCTTTTTTTCACACACTCAAAGTTTTTATTAAGCCATCAGTCTTATACAGATTCTCATTGCCGGCTTGCAACGATATCCTCACGATGATCAATCACCTTCATGTAGTGGAGGAGAAAACGATAAATCTAAGTTATTTTTCCTACTTTGTAGCATAAAGTATAGGGACAGAGCAACCATTCGACTTGATATGGCACTGGTTAAAATACTTTGTACTGAGGTAAGTTAGCTGTCGTTTACTTTTGAGAAGAAAGTCTCTCTTTCTCCGCTTATATTTATCTTTATTCTTTTTTCAACCTATCCCCCAAACATACAATGGTACAGGCTATGATAATCATGATGGGTTTTGTATGGCGGAGCTCCATCTAGTGAAACAAAAATCAACTAAATTTTCTTTAATTTCTAAATGTATTCACTTTCTTCCCATTGTTTTTATGTATTTCATTTAAAATAGTGTTCAAAATATTTCCTTTGTTCAAAAATGTATTATAATTAATGCATCACTAAAAGTTAATGTAAAACGACATTTAAAAATCATCCCGCATGAGTTTCTTTTCAATGAAAAATCAAAATTTATTTAAAGGAGAAATAACGATTATTTCTAACCTTAAAGATGAGGTATGAAAGGATGAATTGTGAAGAGTATAATGATAAACGAAAAAAAAAAGGTGTCCAGGGATGGGAATCGAACCCACAATGTTCCGCTTACCGGGCAGATGCCATGTCCACTAGGCTACCCTGGACATATTTTTCCGTTCGTAAATAATACATAAAGTTTTTTCGTAATACAATATAATATAATGTGGCTTGTGATTGTAAAACGACATTTAAAAATCATCTCGCATGAGTTTCTTTTCAATGAAAAATCAAAATTTATTTAAAGGAAAAATAACGATTATTTCTAACCTTAAAGATGACGTATGAAAGGATGAATTGTGAAGAGTAATGATAAACGGAAAAATAAAAGTGTCCAGGAATGGGAATCGAACCCACAATGTTCCGCTTACCGGGCAGATGCCATGTCCACTAGGTCGTTTTACAATCACAAGCCACATTATATTATATTGTATTAATAAAAAACTTAATGTATTATTTACGAACGGAAAAATATGTCCAGGGTAGCCTAGTGGACATGGCATCTGCCGGGTAAGCGGAACATTGTTGGGATCGATTCCCATCCCTGGACACTTTTATTTTTCCGTTTATCATTACTCTTCACAATTCATCCTTTCATACCTCATCTTTAAGGTTAGAAATAGTCGTTATTTCTCCTTTAAATAAATTTTGATTTTTCATTGAAAAGAAACTCATGCGGGATGATTTTTAAATGTCGTTTTACAATCACAAGCCACATTATATTATATTGTATTACTAAAAGTTAATCATGAAACATTCTGAAAAAAAAATAAAGTCCCAATGGTATCAAATTCACATCATATTTTAAATTACAACAGTATTTTCTAACAATATCATTTTAAAAATAAAGAAAGCATATCCTGACCAGGAGCACATGTGTTTTACAGAAGGCAGAGCGCTATCTGGTGGAACAGAAATCAACTAAACATTGATTTAGCCTTTTCCGTGATATTTGGCCAACCCATTTTCTTGATAAACAAGAAAATCAAACACGTACGCGTTTCGGGCTGTTGGCCTTCGTCAGCGTGGTTCAGGCTGTGCCTCAACGACCAAATATTTTGTTCTAGAGGCTTCCTGAGAAATCAAGATATGGGTATTTAAGGCCAAGTTTGCGTAAAAACGCTGTGTTCACGAGAAAAAATAATAATTTCAAAAATATATAAAACATATAGGATGATTTCTGTATCAAATTACCTTAATTACATAAAATCACAGAGCAAACTTTTACGTTCATGGAGAGCCAACAAAATTTCACTTCACACACATTTGATTATTTAGTGGAAAATATTTTGATTAAGCACATTGTAAAAATAAACATGGCTGTTCAAGAGTAGGTAAATATTTGAAGATAAGAAAATTATTTTATTTGACACACACGATGGTTTCCAAAGTTGCCTGGCTCATTTTTTACCTCCTCGCTTCTGCCTAATTAAACAGACCCCCCATTCCTTCCAAATTAAATAAAGACGTTGAATGTGATGGGTTATATATATATATCTATATATATATAAAAATGAATGTTTGTCTGTCTGTTGGTTTGTATGACCTGTATACAAATTCGCAGTAGTTCACTAATTCAAACCAAAATTTCCATACATAGGTAAAAAATAATGGGGATGACGATAGGCTATTTTAAAAATTTATAAATCAATTATTAAAACTATATATTCAAATTATTCTACTTAGCTCACGAGCAGCGCCCTCTAGAACGCGTGGCGATCTGCCGGCGGCGCGCGCCCGTTGGCTGCCAGCGAGCACGTGACTTCCCTGCCCCCCCCCCCCCCCCCCCATCGAGAAAATGTAATCGTCCGGCTGCCGGCCGGTTGGACAGTCCAAGTTCCCACCGACCGTTGGCTGCCGGCGAGCACGGACTTCCCTGTGCGCGCGCACAGTTTTGTATAGTGTTTGAATAGAACATTTAATCGGGTAAACCCGGGCGTTGCCCGGGTCATTCGTGTAGTATATATATATATATATATTTAAAAACAAAGAATGCATATCTTGACCACAAACACATGAGCTTTTTTTTTAGAAGACAGAGCGCCATCTAGGGGAACAGAAATCAACTAAACATTGATTTAGGCTGTTCTTCATGATGAAAATGGTTTGGCCAAATAACGGGAACAGGCTAAATCAACGTTTAGTTGATTTCTGTTCTACCAGATGGTGCTCTGCCATCTAAAAAAAAAACACATGTGCTCGTGTTCATGATATGCCTCTTCTTTGTTTTTTTAATATCAACGCCTGGCCTTTTTATCTTTTCTATCATTTTCACACACACACACATATATTTTTGAAAATAGAGAAATCCATAGATAAATCTTTATTAAAAAAGGCATATATTGGATAAAAAAATAATTTATTATTTATATAAATTATTTTTTGATCTCCAATATATGCCTTTTTAATTAAACACACACATATATATTAGATAATAAAAGGCATATTTTGGATTTTATAAAATATTTATTTTGCCAATATTTCGGCCGGCTGAACGCCAACCTTTATCGAGGCATTACATTTTTGTATACACAATCTCAGCGCCGCATAGTGCTATAATATCACAGTTGAAATCAATTAAAATACAGAGTAGGTGGGAGAAATTTGTGCATGAAAAAAAAAATATATATTATAAAAAATGCAATCAAAAATGTAAAATATCTTAAAATATAAAAGGAAAAAGTTCTATCTTATATTTAAAAAATTGTAAAAAAAAAAAAGTATTTAAAAATAATTCATTAATAACTCAAAAAGAGATAAATGTAAAAATATATGTATATATTAAAACATTTGAAAATAAATTTAAAATGATTTAAATAATAAACTGTAAGAACCCCTTATAAAAAGTTTTTAAAAATGTGGGTATTTAAAAAAATTCATTTCAAAATTTAGGAGATCGATTTATAAATAAGTAAAAAATATTTTATAAAAATGCATTAAAATTTTTAATGCATTTTTATAAAATATTTTTTACTTATTTATAAATCGATCTCCTAAATTTTGAAATGAATTTTTTTAAATACCCACATTTTTAAAAACTTTTTATAAGGGGTTCTTACAGTTTATTATTTAAATCATTTTAAATTTATTTTCAAATGTTTTAATATATACATATATTTTTACATTTATCTCTTTTTGAGTTATTAATGAATTATTTTTAAATACTTTTTTTTTTTTTACAATTTTTTAAATATAAGATAGAACTTTTTCCTTTTATATTTTAAGATATTTTACATTTTTGATTGCATTTTTTTAATATATATTTTTTTTTCATGCACAAATTTCTCCCACCTACTCTGTATTTTAATTGATTTCAACTGTGATATTATAGCACTATGCGGCGCTGAGATTGTGTATACAAAAATGTAATGCCTCGATAAAGGTTGGCGTTCAGCCGGCCGAAATATTGGCAAAATAAATATTTTATAAAATCCAAAATATGCCTTTTATTATCTAATGAATTAAATATGGATTGCTCTATTTTCAAAACACATATATATATATATATAATATAATCTCTTTTCACACATCTCCTCTTTTGTATATATAAGAAGACTATTTTAAACTAATCTAATGACGCTATGTAGTGCTGTTTATTTAAAATAAATACATTATTATGCCTTGACGAAAATTGGCATTCAGCCACCTAAATATTTGCCAATATATCTTCTTCTAATGCATATATGCATATATATATATAAATAGTTGTATAGTTTTATAGTTAAGTATTCTATTAAAATTATCTTAATTATTTTGATTATTTAAATTCAAATTATAAAATTAGTAAATTGTTATTATTTAGTATAGATAGAGAGAGAAAAAAAATCCTTTACTTCTAAAACATCATCTAGTTAATTATATATTTTTAATTAATAACAATAAAATTTAACAACGTAACGTCTTTTGCATCGGCTTTTACACGTCATTTAGACATACTCTAATCCTATATATAGAATAATCGAAGTGAGAATATATATAATAGTTAGAAAAAAGAGAGAAAGACAGAACCATGTACATTTGATCAAACTAATAATAAGAAGACAAAAAGTTTTGTAAAGAAGGTAGTTAAGATTGTTAGTATATATATATATGTTATATTGAAATATTTTATTTAAAAATGGTATATATTAAAGTGTTATTTTATTTAAAATTATAATTTCATATGTATAAATACTCTGTTTTAATCGACCGCCAGAGGTCACGCTTCTACTATATAAACTGATTGTTGTTCTTCCCCGATTGGCCGACCCAAAACTTTGTAATTATGTAAATAATTTTTTCATTTTTTTATTCTTACGCCTTAAGCCAGGCGGTACTTTTACCAATTTATGTTTATCCTAAAACTCAATTAAAGCAATCTCTCCGATCAAAACTGTTTTCATTATTATTCTTTCAATATTTATGCCACGACTGCTAATCCAGATGATCCAAAACAAAAAAAATCTAATCTTATTTTATTTAAAATATAATATATATATTTTTATAATTTTATATTTTATCGTTTTTTTTTATGATTTTTTAATTTTTTTTATTTTAAAATGTGAATATAAATAGTTGTATTTAGTAATATATCTATACTATGAATTAACCTTTGTTATAAGTTTGGTTATTATGTTTTGAAACCCTAATGGTAGACCAGACATATACAAAAAATGTAAATTGGAGTAATTATTGAAAAAAGAGGTCTGCTGAACCGGGAATTCTCAAATAGAAGTTCAGCGGCGTTTCATCCCTTCTCTATTACGTCATAGACCTCTTTTCAACCGGATATTATGTGTTAATATAAAGTTACTTCAGTGAAACATTTATATGAACAGATATAACAGATATAAGTGTTACCAAATTCTTATTGTGAACCTACCTTCACCGCGCCGCCTTCAACTGTAAACATCTATTTCTGGATGACACATGTTGTGGGGGGTGGGGGACAAAATTAGACCGTCCATTCTGAAGTTTTAGAACAACAAGATATTCAAAGAAGAAATAAAAGATAGTTAAGGGAAGAAATTCAAACTTTATAATCTTTACAGCCAGTTATATTAAAATAACTGATTCAACACTTATTCATCTTTCAATATTCCTTTAAAAAGGCAAACTATTAGAGTTATTTTACTCCCCAGAAATTGGAGATTAAACAAAATGAATTCTATACAATATTACTTTAAAAATCTTGTGAAAAAATCTTCAAATCAGCTATTTAATTTAAGTTTAACTAATTGTTAAAGATTATAAATTTGTAGTATTTATTATTGAGAGAAATTATAGAAAGTTGATTTAATAAATGGATACTTCCATTTATTTTTTTTTAAGTATTTTATAATTGATATACTGTTGAAATATTTTACTTGTCTGATACTAAATTTGTTTTTAATAAATTCCATGTTTAAATTTTTAACATCTTCTATGAAATTTTCTAATATATTATTTATTCTATAAAATCTTTGAAACTGACCAAAATATATACCTTTACAACAATTTAATGAAATATTAGAATTCATATTACAGTATTTTATAATATTGAAATTATAATTACTTTTTTATTATAAATTT